TTCTTGAAGACGATTCGCTGGTCATCCGACCAGCTTTCCCAATTCAGAATGAATGAGAAAGAATGAATTCAGAGAAAGCTGGTCGGATGACCAGCGAGACGTCTTCAAGAAAAAAATACAGCAAGTTTGGTCGCCTTGATTTTTTTTTTTTACGGAACTCCAGATGTTTCGCCTCTCACAACCCCAATGTGCACTTCAGTCACTGACAAAACGCAAAGAATGTTTGTGAGCTGTGTCTAACACGTCATTGCTTTGGATTCCCATCATCCTGGCACACCAACTGAAATGTCCAATCAGGCTGGCGGCAATCGGAAGGTAGAGGGTCGGAATGCACACCCCAACCAGCCTCCTGTAGTCTCTCTGTGTCCTTAAAGGAGAAATGCACGGGGAGTAAAATATACGCTTCATAGACCTGAAGTGGGACAATGCGGCTGGCACGTGCCGGCTCTATACTGAGAGCTGAGCAATCATGTGACCACTGATGAGTCAGTTCTTGGTCTCATCCCCCTGCAGAGCAGATACTGTAGTCGCTGCCCCTAACAGGCATTACCTTTCCCCAGTGCTGTCTCAGGCGGCATTTCATTGTGGGGGGGCGGCCACAGTATCCGAGGTTGCTTAGCAACCTGTGATGCTCTGTCCAGCTTCCTGCCCAGCTCACTGACATCATCGGTTGCCATGGAGATTAGCGGGACTCCTGACAACCAGAGACGTCAGTGAGCTGGGCAGGACGGGCCGTCCCACCGCATATGCCTAGACAACCAGCAGCAGCAACAACCCCCCACCACCAGCCAACCTGGATGACCAGTAGCATCATCCACCAACTACCCAACAATTTTGCTGGGACCCTTGTTGGCTGCAGCGCATTATACCGCTGCGTGCTGACTTTGGGTCACAGGAGGACATTGGTAAATATACTCCTGTGACCCAATAGAGAGGTAAGGCCCCAAAAATGGCTTTTAATGCACAGCAGCTCTAGCAGTGTCTTGTTTCAGGCTGGGGAAGGTGTTCAGACAGATGGAGTTTAGGAGTACTGCATACTCAGTAGACATGTCGGCTGCAGAAAAATTCAGTTCGGATATTAGAATTTGGGATTCGGATCCGAAATGCAATTCGGTTCGGGTTTCGGATTCGGACGAAATCCGAATCTTCGTTTAGTTTCGGATGAGTTTACGAATATTCGTTGTGAATACCACAGAAAACCATCTACAGGTATCAATACTAAAGCTGAGGCTCCCAGACCCGAATGGCATTTGGGAGTCCGAATTTCCACATTGCATTTGGGAGCTCCTGAATGTTATTGGGGTCTGGGAGCCTCAGCTTTAGTATTATATGTACAGTATATTGCTCCCAGACCCCAATGACATTCGGGATCCAAATTTCTGAATTGCATTGGGGAGCTCCTGAATGCCATTTGGGTCTGGGAGCCTCAGCTTTAGTAATATATGTATATGGCTCCCAGACCCAAATGGCATTCAGGAGCTCCCGAGTACAATTTGCAAATTTGGATCCCGAATGCCATTTGGGTCTGGGAGCCTCCGTTTTAGTATTATATGTATTAAGGATGCACCGATACCGGTATTTATTTTACCGGATACCCAGTACCGGAAGTCCCATTCAGGAAGCCAGGCGGTGTGTAATGAGTCGCAACAGGGAAGCCGTCCCCATGCGTCTCGTCACTAGGTGCCGAGAAAGCATAGAGCCGGCTTTCTGGCCAATCGGGAAACCGGGCGCCCAATCGGGAAACTGTGTTATGACGAGGCACCCGGCTTCCTGATCGGCCGGGAAGCCGGCTCCATGCTCCCTCATCATGAGGTGACGAGGGAGCCGGGATGCCGGCTTCCCGGCCAATCAGTAATGACTCACCGCCCGGCTTCCTGATACCGCAAGTATCAGGCTAGGACGAGTACTTGTCCAAATGCACCGATACTAGTATTGGTGCATCCCTAATATGTATATACTGTTTATGGTTCCCATGTTGCCGTTGTGTTCAGACCCATTCGGAAACCAAAAAACACATCTGATTGGCCAGAAAAGTTGCATGCTCGATTCAGTTTAGTTTTTGAACGAAATTCAGACAGGATCCAAAATTCATAAACGGAAATTCGGATTCGGACACATTCAGATGCATTGCGATTTGGAAATCCGGATGTGTCTGAATGTCCGAAATTTTGGGAAATCCGTCCGAAATTTTGGAAAATCCGTCCGAAATTTTGGGAAATCCATCCGAATTTTGGAAAATCCGTCCGAATTTTGTTTCGGAACGAATCGAATCGCACATGTCTAATACTCAGAGAATGGAGCCTTCACTGTGCAGGGTCAGGCCGGACTACACTGATCGCAGAGAGTCAGCGGGCCCGCTGATGGAGTTTAGTTGACAGACCATTTCACCGGCGTTGCGGTGGAGTCATGCGTGAGACGCCGCGGAACTCCTGCCCAGAATGGCGCTGTCTGGGGAAATATTGCCGCCACAAAACCTCTTCCCGCCGTCAATAATTCATCACCGCCACTTGTGAAATATTTATTGCTCACGTTAGTGGGGGAAACGAGCAACTGCCCAGAATTCATCTGTGTACAGAGAGGGGACGGCCGCCCGATGAACTCGTACACCAGGGAGCGTTCTATATACAGTGCAACCAAACGTGACAACAGAGCGAACATCAGCATAACCTGGCGGCCGTTAGTGAGCCAGCGACCCCGGTCATGGCGGTGGTCTATGGCGCGGAGTTACTCCCGGGACAGAACATCCGGGTCCTATTGTTCTGGA